TGTTCATTTCATTCCATTTGCTTTCCGAAACGTAATCTTGATTTCTGATGTTTTTCAAGTGCTCCCGGTTATTGGATATTGTAAAGACATCAACTAAGAGAGAAACACTATTCCTTTTTTCTGTCGTTTATTAAAAATATGGAAGTATAAAATAAAGTCATGTTACATTCCAGTTGCTGTCATCTGTGTCATTTTATCCCGATCTTACAAACATGGTTGACTGGCGTTATCAATAACAACCCACAACAAAACATGTTAGCTGTAGGAAATTTTCTAACTCAATGTCAGAAATAATCCTCACCGATTTAAACTTGATGATAACCCGAGAGGATAAAAGCATCAAAAGCAACAATGTTCAGTTAGATAGAATTACCCGACTTGCCTTCAGCAAAATTTAAAGATTCTCAATTATAGAGTCTGCGAAGCATTTTCAAAAAGTATTTCTATTATTTCCAATTGTCACGAATATGATTGGCTGAACAATAAGCTCTTACAAACAAACAGAATACAGAACATATCTGAAATCCAAGTTTCATTGTTATATTTCAGTGTGTACTGCACGAGGAAATTAATTCTGAAAGTTTGTAAAGAAAATAATTTTATTTTGGGTGGGTTACTGGTTTTTTTGGAAGGGTCACTGGTTTGTTTTGGATGGCTTACTGCTATGTTTTGAAAGGGTCACTGGTTTGTTCCAGGTGGCTCATTGCCTTGTTTTGGGTGGGTCACTGGTTTGATTTGGGTGGTGGTTCACTGTTTTGTTTCTGATGGGTCACTGTTCTTGGTGGGTCATTTATTTGTTTTTGTTGGGTCACTGTTTTCGTTAGGTCATTTATTTGTTTTGAAAGGGTGACTGGTTTGAACTGACAGGTTCACTGGTTTGTTTTGAAAGGATCACTAGTTTGTTTTGGAAAGGTCACTGATTTGTATCATCAACTGGTAGTTTTAATATTGTTATTAGAGACTTGTGAGAAATAATTTCCACGTACTCCACATGTCGAATGTCAAGAGTTATTTTGTGTACACACCAACGAGTACTCAGGTGAGACTAGACGCCATTTTTGTTACCAAGCCTTTGTACTGTCATTGGGAATCCAAGATAAAAAATCTCGAAGAAATTTGGGACCGAACTCGCGACATCCAGTTAGTGCGGCGCTGTCATATTTGCTATTCCACCTTGGCTCCTTTGGTGGGGCGAACATAGTAGCGAGTTTATAAGATTAGACGAAAATGAAATGAAATGAAATGGGGTTTAACGTCCTACTGTTTTGCTCCGACCTGGGCTTTTGAAGACGGGCATACGCCATACAGTGTGCTATGAGGGAAATTTGGCCCGAACAGCGGCACTGCGGCCTACTCTTATATTGAATTCCAACTGTCAAGGGATCTTTTACGTGTACGCCAATGTGTACACGGGACCTCGGTTTTTCGGTTCATCCGAATGACTAGACAGCTGTCCTTGTCAGGCAAGATTAGACGAACAGGCCCTTAGTTCACAAAGCATTCTCAAACTACGTGCAAGTTTTGTGTTTCTCATAAACAGTGATTAAAAGTAAATTCTGAACTTAAGTCTGAAAATGCTTAATGAACTCGAGGCCAGACCAGCTAGTTTATAAGATGTGGCGAACAGACTAGCTAGTTAATCAGATGGGGCGAACAAACTAGCTAGTTTATAAGAGGTGACAAACAGTCTGGCTAGTTTATAAGATAGCACGGATAGACAAGCTAGTTTATGAGACGACCAGATCAGCTAGTTTATAAGATGAGGCGAACAGACCAGCTAGTTTATAAGATGAGGCGAACATACGGTCTCAGACTAGCAATTATTTGCCCATTGACTTCAATGTTAAATGGCTGTAACATCACAGGCTGTAGCTTTTTGCTCAACATTCCGTTGGTTCCAATCTTTATAGGCACAATGGGGACCACATTTGGCACTATCCTCATCATAAATTTGTAGGGGGTTGACCATTTAGATTTTTTGCTACGGGGATTTGAAGTTGACGGAGGTGAAAATCTCACTTCCGACACAAAGATTGCTTTGCAGAAAGACACTTTACTCCCCCTATCCCTCCGCTGTAATATCATCAGTATTACCCAAAAGTGCTATGAAATTGCAAATTTGGTCCCTTTCTCCAATTCTAGACCAAAAAGTCAACCCAAAAATGCAGGAAGAGGGGAGAAAAAAATTAAGGGAAAAATTGTCTATTTATAACTCGCACTACTACTAGTCTTAGTCCATACTCGCTAGTTTATTAGATGAGACGAACCGGCTAGCTAGTTTAGAAGATGGGGCGAACAGACTAGATAGCTTATATGATGGGGTGGGTAGATTAGCTGCTTTATAAGACGAGGCAAACAGTAGCTAATTTATAAGATAACACGAACGTGACAGGTAGTTTAAAGTATGAGACGAACGAGTCGGCTAGTTTAAAATATGAGACGAGCGAGACAGTTTGTCTAATATATGAAACAAACGGGCCAGCTAGTTTAAAATATGAGGCGAACGGGACAGCTAGTTTAAAATATTAGACGAACGGGACAACTAGTTTAATATATGAGACGAAGGGACTAGCTAGTTTATAAGATGAGGCAAACAGACTAGCTAGTTTATAAGATGAGCTACTGTGAATCCTGGTTAATTCAAGACCTCTTGTTACCAAATTGGCGGAAAAGAAAATAGAATTGATTAGCTGGAATTGTGTTTGGCTTGAATTAGATCCATATCATGACCGCGTTTGTGTGTGATACATTTACCGGCGTAATGGGATTTTTACATCAAACATGGCGGTTGTACAAAATTCTCATTTCATTTACTTCGTTTCATTTTATAGATTTTTTATTGAATGAATTCCAGTAGGAATGGGAGGTTGACCAAAATTTCTGATTTCAATTGATTCGAGCCAACTGTTGTAAATGTAGTAATTTAAGCGAGGTTATGAGATTGGTTGTTGGTTCGTAGAATGGTGGAGATTCCATTTAGATTATATAACGAGCAGAAATCCAGTTAAACATGACAAAAAGGCTATTACTGTCGCCCTGATGTGGTTGTAGCTCTATAGACTAGTGAAAGACGATCGGCAAGGCAGTGAAATATATGCTAACATCCTGGATGTTATAGACCTCATCAGACACATTAACTCACGGAATTTGATTCAAATTTAATCAAAATCCAAATGATGACAGATATCGCCTTACCGGAACTGGACAAATGGCGTTATACAAATGATTGAAATTCATTGAATGTGTATCTTATTTATAAAAACCCCTCGACAAAAACTCTGCATATGAATAATTTGTCACGTTTAATAATGGATATTCAGACAATATAATGAATAAATTAGGATGGATATATCCATTAGTATATAAGGAAATAGGATTTCAAGTCATGCTTTTCTTGTGTGTGGGGGGGGGGGGAAATAGTTTAACGCGTGCGCGTTAGACCATACGATCTGTCAATCAGTCAAGTGGCGTCGTTTCGATTCCCCGCTTGTACCCCCCCACCCCCCTGCGGTCAACTCTTATATCGATTTCCAACTGTCATGCCAATATGTCCACGGGACGTCTGGTTTTCGTCTTATCCGTAAGAATAGATAAACTTATTAATGTGACTAGTTTTAAACTTTGCCAAATACTAAAACGATAATCTCAGCAAATCGCAAGGATATTCTGTCAACAAAGTCAATCATCAAAACGCTAAAAGATACATTTCACGAAATTGTATCATGTCTAACACTGAAGTTAGTATAAATGGTCACCATGCATTGTATCCTGATAACAATAATATGATCATATTTTCAACTTTGTGATCAAATGTCAACGGTTGAAACCGGGATTTAAACAAATCATCAAATGTAGACTTGCGTGCTAAATGTTATAAAGACAATACCATTATAAACATATTAATATTTCTCCAGTATAGTAATCTCATAATGATATTCATAGACGAATGGGGAGGGGGTAGACCAATACACACCTAAAACCATTAAACAATCTTTACAAAATTATAGTTTATCTATACGTCCCGTATATTTTCGATATAAACTAGTCTCAGACAACTTAATTACCTAGAAATATTGTTTTATTTTGCGAGACAGTATGTTTCAATCCTTTCATCACTTTAAAATCCATAAATAGCTTACTGCTATATTGACAAGACTACGCATTACGGATTTTTAAAGTAACGATGCGCCATTTGCACTTTTCTCTAAAATATCAAATTTTTCATATGTACTCAGATTGATTATTAAATATTTAATTAAGAAACCAAAATCATAATACTAACGATAGATATTCTCACGGCTTGGATTCATTTGGATTTAAAATGAAAACAGACCCACTAATAAATTTTCGCGGACGACAAAATGGCACTGGCTTATTACAGCATAGATTGATTAAATTTTGCAAATACTGAACGGAATTAAACTATTTTTGAACTGATATTCCGATTAGAGATTCGCCTTTCACAATATTGTAGCTTGCAAGTGATTCCTATTGCGCTAAAATGCCGCATCAGAACTTTAACCAAGATAAAAAATTTCAATATCGACATTTTAGAATTTTTGTGAGCTGTGTACTAAAATTGTGTGTATGATTATAATTAAACATTTAAATATTTTTACCCATCTGGACCATATAGTATTAATTTATAATTTAAAAATTCTGATCATTGGATCCTATTATGGCTTATAACTCTCTGTGCTGTAATTTTTATTTTGTTAACCGAATCAGCCTTTTGCTTTCTCTCTAGAAAGATCCTTAATATTCGCAAATAAAGAAAATAATTTAATTCAAGGAAAGCTACTTACTACATAACAATCAAAATTATAATCGCTCCGCAGACGAGTCGTTATGACTATATCCGGTGGATAAATAATACTGGAAGTTGTGTGTGACTCTCTTTGCTTTCTCCTCTATAAAATACACGTAGGATAAGGGAAGTAATTGGCTTATTTATAAACTACCTGGTGCGTTTAATATGTATATTATGTTTATATTTTCAGATGCATCTATTAGCCTTTAACAGCGATTTGTATCAAAATGGAACTTCAGCTTTAAAAGGAGTGAAAGGGTTAGCCGTAATCGCAGTCTTTATAGAGGTAACAATTAAAGGACACTATTGGTGTCAGACATTATTAAATATGTGACAGAACTGGTTAAATACATTCCAAATATAATTTTAACACAGAGATCATTGTTACGGGAGACGTGTAACAAGCACGTGAAGAAACGGGAAGTGGCGTCAAACATGACAAACACTAGTTGAAGTTGAAAAACTATTATATGGGACGGTGAGAGGGTATCTCACAATTCAAAAATAGAATTGGCTGTCACTAGATAAGGGACACGAGAAAAATAGAAAAATGCCGTGCATTCCCCGTTTTTATTCATTCTGTTCTTAATAAAAACATGGTAATGCACGGACTTTTTCTAATTTGTTCGTTATCTTTTATGTACTGACAGCCAATTCTTTTTTTGAATTGTCAGATATCCTCTCATCGTCTCATATAACAACTTTTCATCTCCAACTGAATTATCAGTGAAATGAAATTCGATCGTTTGTCTATTATCGCTCGTTACTTCAGTCAGTTATATAGAAGGACAACTCGTGTTTGTCATGTTTGACGTCACTTCCCGTTTCTTCACGTGCTTGTTACACATCTCCCGTTGCAATGATCTCTGTGTTAAAATTATATTTGGGATGTATTTAACGAGCTCTATCACATATTTTATAATGACTGACACCAATATTGTCCTTTAAATACCGGGATTTCATATTGGCAATGATAATTAGTATCTTTTATCTATTAAAAAAAGCAGTCCAAGATAATATGTTTTAGTAGAAAATGTGTGAAATACTTTAAAACATATATCCTGATTCCGGGTAACCATCTCGATCTCTGCAATCTCTAATAAATGCCACTTTATTTTGAATCGCTGCAATGTGCCCAAAATTAACTATTCAGTAGTGACTAGATAACAATGTCTATAAGTGTATTAGGCCAATCATTATATATACAAAGGATCACAATTATGTGTACTGGTTACGTAATCCCCTGTAGCAATGACAATTTGGCGTATTGATTTGCATACCTAAATGAAGAGTCAAACCATTATAGATTCTTTATAATGTTGTCAAGTATCGAAAGAGTATCAACTATACCCGACCAGACCGTTCCCTGTTTGGCCACAGATCACCAATGATTTCACTATTCTTAGACCGGCTCTAACTTTTTCCCAAATTTTTATTGGGTAAAACCCTTTCTACGAGAGATGGAGCAACATGTGGCAACCTCTTGCCTAAAAGCACATATGAGGTTCATCATGAAAAACTTGAGATACACAAGCTGGAAGTAGAGAGAAAAAACATTTTCCGCCCTACATTTTAACCTAACCAATCTCTTAACCCTAGTATCCTTCCGCCTCAAAATCATGAATATTCACCAAAACCTGGCGGAAAATGTATTTTCACGACCTTTTCTCCAATTTCACACCATAAGATCAACAAAGATCACCATGCAAAAATGGGAAAAAGAGAAAGGGGGGGGGGGGAGACTAAAAATAGCTTTGGCCCTTGATCGGCGTAGAAATAATTGGTGAGCTGTGTCCGTTTAATGTTACGTCGGGTGAGAATTTGTGAGGGTCTACTGTGATCTCCAGAAAACATCCTACGTGCATCAAGCACATGCTATGATGATCTTCTATCCAACGATTACATTAGTGTATTCATCCAAAGTCACGTGTCTACAGAATATGAAAGAGAGAGAGAAATGGAGTATAACGCCCACTCGACAAAAACTAGGTCATTTCGGTACTAACATATGGTTCAATTTAATTTCAATAATTCGCTTATGCGTAGGGATATTTAACTGAGGGCGAAAACCGGGGAACGCCTAGAAAACCCCCGAAAATGGACAGGCGACCCTACTCCTTGTCACATACAAGCGGGAAATCGAAACCACGCCACCTGATTCAATGACAGACCGTGTGATCTAACACGCACGCTGTAAGCCATTCAGCCATGAATGAAGCGTACAGGTAGCTATAATGTATTCCATGGTTATATTTACACCGACCCAAGGATAACATGTGTCTACGTCAGACTCAGCTGTATTGTGGAAATTATGTATAACCTCCACGGCTTTAAATGATCTTATGTTTTAAACTTTTTGATATATTACTGACACGAGTAGATTTATAGAGTTGAACAAAACCAATGGGAATTTCTGTAAAAATAATTTTATATTATATAGGTCCCAAATGTCCTGCGAAGATATTTCAATCTAGAATAGCGTAGAAATCATTTAATTTGGAAAGTAGAAAGCATCTCTGAAGTCCACAAAAACGCTTCATTCGTCGCAGATCAGTACATGTGCAAGAATTGATAAACGCGTGTTTTCAACAATGTATTAAACACTATGACAAAAAGAACTAGATTGAAGAAATAGACGTCAATCCATTTTCTTAATATACGGCGGGTAATCTTTGTATTAATATAGGACGGGTAATATTTGTATTAACATGCGGCGGGTAATCTTTGTATTAATATAGGACGGGTAATATTTTTATCAACATTTGATGGATAATCTTTGTATAAATATAGGGCGGACATTCTTTGTATTAATACAGTACTGGTATGCTAATATTTGTATTAATATAAGTGGGTAATATTTGTATTAATATAGGACGGGCAATCTTTGTATAAATACAGAACTGGTAATATTTGTATTAACATACAGTGAGTACCATTTGTCTTAAATGGAAGTGTTTCAAGATTGGTATACCACTTCCTTGATTTGGGTGAAAAATTGAAAGAGTCTGTTTACTTAGATATAATGTATCGATTTTGGTATTATCCCAAAATTTAAAAAATGTTGGGTCTATAAAACTAAACCAATGCTCAAATATATCCGTCAATCGACAGTTTAAGTAAACAAAATTAAATTTATTAAACCGATTTAGACGCAATTGACAACCTAGTGTAATCAGATAAGGCTAGGAGGAGACAATTCTGACAGAAATTATTGCAGATGTAATAATGATATCACCTAAATGACGATGTTTTTTAATTATATTTTATGTTTTCTTGTCTGCAGATTGGAAAAGATATCAACAAAGCATTTCATCTAATATCCAAGGAACTTAAAAGATTACGATATAGAGGTTCGTATGGCGCTATTAACTAATTATTGAGCGATAGAGTTCGGCATTTCGGCATTAATTACTTGTAGGCTCACATGACCTGCTAGGTCCGACTAATAATACTGTAAGCCGTATGAAAATCAAATTTTTCAATATTTACTTTGCTCCGAAACCTTGTACAAAGTATATATTTTCACTGAGTAGACTCACTTGTAAGCTAACTGTCTTGAATAGTTATTGCTTGGGTACGTGTTCCTCTTCTTGTTGCTAGCTTCTGGTAACTATTTTGTACAATTTACAGTTATAAGAACAATAAACCTGGTTTGTATATAGAAACAACTTTTCACACAACACTTAAAGATATATTATCAATATGATATCATATCAACTTAAAAATATATTATGTAAAAGCTAAATCGGCTTATTGCAGGTCTTTCTTTTGGCCTTAAATATCATATAAATTATTAACTGAAACTTATTCACATTACAAGCCCATAATCAATCTCAAGATAATAGGATGGTCGTGATTTTAACAGAAGAATAAAACACGATCACCATTTAATAATTTAATTTAAAAATGTATAATCAAGGCGTTGCTTATTAACGTAATAATGGTAGCAATTAACACGAGTCTACGTTATTTTTACCAAAACAAAAGACTTGAATAACTTCGCTCAGAATAAAGTAATTTGACTAAAATTTTCAATATATTCATTTTGTATTATCTATTATCTTAACTATTATACCAAGAACGGCTAATGCTTTATCTATTTCTCACATAATGCATCTGTAATGCTATTACGAGAGTGCATTTTTTTCTCTGTATTTTGAGGCTCTCTCTAGATCTGACATCTCTTTGAACATCGTATGGACCTGCTGCGAGTCTTTGAAATCTAATACAATGAAGGACGTCCTGTTATTGGGTATAATTTCTTTCTTACTAAATGTGATGTGTTCGGGTGTAGCTTTATTGATAATACTCCCCAAACATGACTTCCACGACTAGACAACTATAATAATGACTTTTACATACGAAAACAACTTTTATTGGAAGCCTTGTCTGCAGATCTATCAAATTATCAAAATCATCAGAGCACTTAACCCAATCATAGAGAGTTTGAATCAGAATCACGTGATCGGAAGTTGTGATCTGATTGCGCAACAAACACATCCTGCATGCCATTGTATACCGATTTTGTTTTGCTTTTAGGAGAAAGAACGATGATACACCATTTAGAATTAGAGAAACTTCTTCCAAAAACAGAACATTATATGACGTATGAAGGTTCTCTCACGCAACCAGGTTGCCAGGAAACAGTCACGTGGATAGTATTTAATAAACCAATCAAAATAGCAAAAGAACAGGTAACGAGGGACTTTGTTTTTGTTCTGTGATTTTAAATGAACAACAGCCCATCAAAACACATTATGCGGGATACATTCCAAATAACCGAAATATCAGATGCTAACATTTAGTGTACACATACACTTCCGGACACAAATAAACAGTTGGGTACGGAAATATAATAAAAAGATAATTTAATATTTGTCTTGATCTGGCTTTACGACTATAAGTTGTGGTGGGAGGGTGGGTGTATTGTATCATTACAAAAACTACACGTGAACGACATATAACTCCAAGGCTTGGATTCAGTCGGATTAAAATGGGGCCCATCAAAAGATTTTAGTGAAGGTGATAGGTGGCGCTGGCATTTGGAAAGGGGGCCTATGTTGACCATTTTCAATTCACCATATCTTAATAAATGGGCCTACTGCGCGGAATTTATGCATAGCTGGTCGAAAAACTTTAATTCGGCATGTTAGCGGGAATTAAGTGAAGGAAAGATGGTTCTCTGTTTTTCATGATCTATTGGTCCAGTAATAACCCTCTATAGAGTTACTTATCTCCACCCCTTCGTGAAACGTTTTGGTGCCATCTGGAATCTGGAATATTTGCCTCGCCCAATCACGTAGGCTACGAGAGCACAAATTCCTAAATAAAGTTCGAATATCCCACAGATCATAAAAAAAAAAACAAGCCCCCCCCCCCCACTACGTCCCCTTCCCCCGATAAAGCACACATAATTCCCGGAAATTCTTCAATTATGCACTCCGATTACGCTAGTGCTTTTGGGCTGATGTTCGTAGTTTAGATTCAACATTCATAATATTGTAGTTTACAAGTGATTCAAACTCCGTTAAAATTAATCTCTTTTCAACACAGCAACCCCTAAATTTAATCAGCATTCATTAATATATTTCGAGGAAGACTTTATTAATATAAATGTGTTTTTGCCTTCTAAAGCTCAAAAGTCAAGTATCATAAACAAAAAGTTAAAATAATTTATATTACCATAGACAAGATTTTATCATATTTCTTCAACCTCTGCTATTGTAGTTAGTTCCTTATTCGTTTTTTTTGTTTATTTGGGGTTTTTTTCAAATTACATCCTTGTAGAATGTTTTTATTTTAATTCCGTCCATTTGGTGTTGTAGTGTTGCTATTGGAATCGATTTAGCCTGTTAAAGCAGAGTTTCTGTAGATGTATATTTATACATTTACTAATTTTTATTGGGTAAAGTTTTGACAACGCACAATTCCGAAGAGGAAATTCTATTTTGTCTTTAATTATTAAAGTAACAAGCCAGTCGGTAGTGACGTTATGAGGTGGAATGGCAGACAATGTAAATTGTTCTGTTTTCTACAGATGACGAAGTAAAGGGCCTCTAATTAATTCCTGGGTGATTTCAATTGATCCCGAGAATCGTTTAAAGGGGCTAAACCTCTTAACTCAATATTATCCGTAATATTCGAAATTAAAAACACGAATTAGAATTCAATATCGGGCCATTTCAACCAATATCCTTGTTGTTATCTTGCCGTGAACATATGGGATCCAGATATCCAATATTTAAGACACACCGAACATTTATTTCATAACCAGTACACGAGTCGTGTATTCTGTGAAATCGGGTGCCATTTGTAATGAACACAGAAAAACATACCCTACAAGACAATGCGGAAGTAATTAGTAATCGCTGATTCACAAACGAGAAAAAAAAACAATATAACGTGAAGGTTGGACTAAAAAGGCTTAAACGACGGTAATTAAATTTGGAAATGAAATGAAATGAGGTTTAACGTCCTATTGTTTTGCTCCGAACTGGGCTAATGAAGACGGGCATACGCCATACAGTGTGCTATGTGGGAAATTTTGCCCGGACAGCGGCACTACGGCCTACTCTTATATCGAATTCCTACTGTCAACTGTACACGGGACCTCGGTTTTTCGTCTCATCCGAATGACTAGGCCCTCCGTCCTGCATCACTGACAAGGGGGAACCACGCCGGAAAGTCTGGGTGAATTTTCTCGGCCAATGCAGGGATCGAACACCCGACCTCCAGGCTAGCGAGCCAGTGTCTTACCCACTTAGCCACCGTGACCCCCTATTAAATTTGGACCGGTCATATAATTGAATAGAAATTACAATATTTAAAAAAGAAATTCAATATAAATCACTTTATATGCACTCATATTACATTAATTGTGCATTTAGACCCAATTTCGTCGATCTTAATATTCCAAACAATGGAGCCATACGCCCTTTAATTTCAATTTTAAAGAACTTGATCTCTAAGTTACAAATTTTACTGTAATGCAAACAAGTCAACTGAAAAAAACACAAAAGGTATGTACTTATCTTACCGGGTAGCACTTGAAAATAAAGTTATTTCTATGACATATTTAGGTATGGTACCCACTTAGCCACCGTGATTCCCAAGCTAAGAAAGAAAGGGGTAACCTCAAAACAATTACATGCCCTAAGAAGCATAGCTTTTAATTCCATTTTCAAATGTATTTTTATTCAATGATATTACTATTTTCTCTTTAAAACTAAATTGTGTAAATTTAAATAACAATACCATTGTTAATTAGATTTTGATTCCATTTTCAAATGTATTTTTATTCAATGATATTACTATTTTCTCTTTAAAACTAAATTGTGTAAATTTAAATAACAATACCATTGCATGGCAAAACGAAATGACTAGTTTTAAAAAGGAAATCAGTTCTCTTTCTGAGTTTAATTTTATCAATTTAATATGGGTGAAAATGGTTTGTGTGACATTCTGCAGAATAGTGATTGTTTTATATCAACAAGTTTGCTGGGGTTTTATCTGTTGTGTTTAATGAACGTCGAAATCGTAACCTTGACCTCGATATATTATTCATACTACAAAAAAAGAAATCTCTTGTGAATAGGCTATATGAATGGTGTAGTGAATTGAGGAAATACAAATTATAATAGAAATGGGGTTTAACGTCCACTCGGACAAACTAGGGCATTTTGTAAAGATCTTAGAAGTGGAAATAAACCGGAAAAAAAACCCACGATGGAAGGCAAGAGATCCTACTCCATGCCATGTAAAAGTTTAATCGAAACAACGCCACTTGACTCAATAACAAACCTTATGTTTTAAAGCGGACATGTTATATCACTAGACCTACCCCGCCTAATATTAACAGCACTGTCTTTACAATAAGTACCCCATGGTTGCTTGATAGAATTATTAAATATGATTCTTTTCTAAATGTTTTGGAAAGAAATAGTATCATGTAAACCACGTACTCTTCCACACATGAACAATATATTCTTTATGTTGTCGCTGTAAAAGCGAATTGCGCGTGAATTCAATAAGTTGAAAATAGTACGCTTAGATCTCCCATTTAATTACATCAAATGAGTTGATCTCCCTCCGCCAACTCAATACAAATTAGTTCTTTACTTGGATCGCTCGTATATAAAATAAACCAATTGGAATCTGTATCGACTGAAATGAATTTTAATCGCGACGAAAAGATTTATAGAAAGCCAATAAATGGCCGACGCGTCGTTCGTTTCCTTAACATGGCGCGCAGGGTTGCATGTAAAAGCCGTACTGATGAAGGGAGTGAAACGAAGTAGATTACGCTTTTTCTTTATACGCGGTGTAATTTGTGCCGAATTATTGATACAATCGCCATTGCTAGAACTTCGATTGAAGGCTTGCCTAAGTTTGAATTCAAATCAAAGTTGATTTTAGCGGCTCAATGGTGGAACAAACTGATTAGGTTTATTGTTGTGAAGGAAATTGCCTGCAATTAGAGTCGAGTCAAGCTCTTCCACATCCCAGTTCCTGATTGCAATTCTCACTCACTTCATTTGGAATCATTTTACCCACACAATTAGAATTCCCCATAGAACAATAAAAAATAAATTTATAAACTTTTCTATTGATTTATTTGAAGCAATCTTCCTAATCCCCATTTTTTTACTCATTAGATTTTAACTTTTATTCCAATAATTTATGTTTTACGCTGATTTGATGTTCGACATAGAAATCCAGATTGAATTCTAGCCTCCTCTTTTATTGTCTTCTGATTGGCAATGAATAAAATCGGGCTTTAAGACCGGATAACTTATTTATATATTCCGAGTTGAATTGACAAAAACAACAGCTGTAAACTTTGATTGTTTTCGGAATTAAAATGTTATGACTTGTAGTTTTTATTCTTCAATAACTTCTATTTAAGAAACTAGGTTATTGAAGTTCGGAACGGGTTAAAGAAGACAATGCTTTACAAGTTTTTCTTTTTTAACCCACGCACTTAATGTTGCTCATTTTGTGATTTAATGTGGTTGAACATTTGGTTACGTTTTTTTTATTGTAGTAGCGAGCTTTTACACAATATCCGCTAATCATGAACAATTCTATTTAATAGGGCATATTAGTAAGGTATTTCGTTTTGTTTAAAGGAGCTAAATTGCTAATAATTTGGACCTAGAAATTGACACAAATGGGTCGTAACGCATAGAATAATGAAATAGGAATATATATAAACTGATTTACATTCAATCGTTTCCATTTTTACTCTAATTTAAAATCAGTTACGTTCGGCGAAATATGTCAGAAGTCTCAATCGAATGAAAATTTCTAGCGTCTGGTTATTCTAGTCTACATTGTATTTATTGCGCATGCTCTCCCGATATGAATATGCCGTCACCGTTTGACATGACTTTTTGAATGTCTAGCCCCGTTCTTCGAGTCCCTTGTTAGAATGGGCCTGGAACGCATTATGGTACACGATTCGTGTACCAATGGTAAAATGTTTATTTTGTCTTAAATATTGGATATCAGAAACCCATCTTTTCCCGGTAAGATCACAACATCCATGTTGATTTACATTGACAAATAATTCGTGTTTTCAATGTCGAAGATTTTGGATGATATTGAGTTAGAGACTTTAAATTCAACACTCATAAGTGTTATGTAGCATTATTTATACACTACCGAAGTGTATTATAGTTAATCTCCTGATCTACTATAGCCGAATATGAAGCATTAATAGCTAGATAATAAATAAATAAATCGATATATATGATTGGAACAAGTGGTTTTCATTGGTTGTTTACAGTGTACACGACACACTGATGATACAGATCTGTTAAGTAAAACTGGATCTGGTAAAATATAAATTACGGAATATAAAATGAAAAACGAATTGAAAAACACCTGCTTTCAATCAGATTGGATTATCTGTATTGTGTTTCAGTAAGGATTTTACGTACGAATACGTTCGAAAAAATGAGGTTTAGTGTCAAATTGGTAGTTGACGGTAATGCCGTTGTTTATGATTGTTGAGGAGACTCTATACCAAAATCACACCTTCTCCATCTCAAACCTTGAGATTTTTAACCATAAATATCTTGTATTATTAATAAACGAATGAAATGAAATAGAGTTTAACGATTTAAATTTCTGCTCTTGCGGACATTGATTTGAAGACATAATGAACTACTTTGATTTCGATTTCCAAATGTCAGTGGATGAATACCGTGCTGTCAATGGTAGACATATCGTCCCACCCGAACGACTAGGCAGTTTTCCTTGTGTATCACAAACAAGCTGGAACCATGCTAGAAAACCCGAGGACACCAGGATCCAGCTCGGGACCTGCTGGTTCGTGCACCAGCGCCATACGCACCAAGCCGTATTATTGTTTCAAGAGTAGGTCGTGGTGCCGCTGTCTAGGCAAAATGTCTCTCATAGAACGTGTTTTATTAACCCAATCCTAGCAGAAGAAAGGGTCGTTAAACCCCTTTTCATTTCGTATTAATGAATGAACACCAATAACCATTTGTCATATCTAACTTGATGAAAACTGTTCTATCAAACAGATTTATATCAGAGAAATCAATAGTTTATCAGATTTCATCTTTATAGCCGTCAAAATCTATGAACTATCTGTAGCTACATAATTTATAATACCTTACTGATATATCAATCCTCAGGTTTTTCCAGATCTCAACAAAAACAAATTCTGCAATATCAGTTGTACGAATCTTAAACGTTTTTTTTCTATTTTATCCAAGTCTCCACAAAAAAAGTATTTCACTATATCTGTTGTACAAATCTTGCATGTTTTTTTCCCCTATCTTTATGCCTCATAGATTTTAAGGAATGGATTTTCTTGTCCATTCAGCCATAATCCATCAATGAACAACATTATGTTTAACTTAACGATAGATTTATTTTCGCTTTTTACGGTATGATGCGTGCCTCTCTTTTTTACTTTCTTTTTTTTTAAATATGAATATATTTGATAAATTCACACGAGGGCATAAATCTCTGGCGATTCCGTGTACTTGTTTTATTTAAAACACAGATTTTAAAAAAAAAATCCTCTATAAAGTCATAGAGCACATATGTTACCAACTGTTAAACGTCAAATAATCGCCGTCTTTGCCCCAGTCAGAAGAATTTACAATCAGTCCAAACGGGGATATTAAGGTCACTGGATTCTCGACTAGAATGTAATGGGTTCTACTCCCCGCGGTTCCCACATGTTGTCTAGTTATTCAATAAATAGGGTGGAAAACCGGGATTCACCCGTCTACACATTTTTGCGTGCACCTTAACGAGATATATACATGGTTTAGCGTACACTCGACACAAACTAGGTCATTGCGTGACAAACATAATGATCCAATTTCAATTCAACAAATGGGAGGAAACCAGAGGACCCGGAGAAAACTCACGCGGTTTGGAAAGCGATCCTACTCATTGTAATGAAATCAAGCATATTGACAGATCTTGTGATCTAAGGTCAGTCCCACCCATTCTGACCCATTTCCACCAGCCCCCACCCTAAATGTTTTGTCTTATACAATGTCTACTCTCCTATCATTTGTATTTTACCCCGTGCTAAACTTTCTATTTTCAGCTTTCTGCCTTACGTGTTTTATACGACGGAAGAGAAAATAACCCGGATTTAGCTGAGGAAATAAATTCTCGTCCCGTGATGCCTTTAAATCATAGAGTGGTTAGGACTAATATCAACTTTAGAAAGAGGGTAAATATCTTATATCACTTGGCTCGTGTGGCAAATATAAACCGGTGAACAGATTAAGTGTGATTGAATCATCAGCTGGGGTCAAATTGATTCAATGAAAAGAAACAAATCTGTGTAACTAACTTTTCGTGTTTATCGTTTACTACCCACAAATTGGAAACAGAAACCGCACAATACCAAACAAAGACATTTAAAGACATATCATGGGACATTAGATAAAAACAAGATAATGTAAAGGGAATTTGCTAAAAATTTCAGTCAAATTGAACCGAGAATTTAGCACTTGAATTTTCAGCCTAGCCTCGATCATTATTACTAAAGATGGTACGATAAAAACATACAGTCTCGATTATCCATTTCATGATTAATGATGAATGAAAGTTGAACAGCAAATCGGATCCTAATTCAGTAAATATCGCAGGCTAGCGATGACATCGAGAGTTGATTATGGTCTGGATACGTTAATTAATGTCTAATTAATAATTTAGATAACGTGTCAGGCCTAAGAAAGACCTGAAATAGGCAGATTTAGCTCTTGCATAATGTTAAGAAACAACCAATAAGCAACACGACGGGGTAATGATTTCGATTGATTTTAAAATGAAGGTGTAAGGCCTTGGGTAAATTTTTAAGAGGCTTGCTCTTGCTCTTCTTATCGACATAGAAAGGGGTCCACATATCAATAAGAATTTTGTCGGATTGATTCAGAGAGCAAATTAACTTCCATGGAAGTCGCCATTTTGAATGTCACTTGATACTTATTTAAATAAACGTCAAACAATTATTTAACATGGTTGCTTAACCTTGCACCTGGATTTAAGCAATATGAATTTTCTTCTATAAGCTCGCAATGGCATCAAAACTAAATGTGACAAATACTAACAATTTTTGTCCGATTTAATAAAACTGAAATACGTCTTATTATTTAGACAATATCGCTATGAATGATTTATCACTTATAAAGCGTAACATATCAGATGTATTGTTGGACAATTTGTTGCGTGACAAAACGCAATATAAATGTAAGAAGATAGTATTCTACCAAGCTATATTAATGTTATTTATAGACAATATTTTTCATTGTTTACTATTTTTTCAGACGAGATTATGCACAATGGAAAAAGATATGCATTATCAAGGTAATCTTATAGATTATAGCCATAACAATATAGCCTTAGTGTCATAAACATATTTAGAAAATTGAATTTTAAAACGTACTCGACAAATAATCACGCGATTTTGTATACTGTATATATTGCAGGGACCCGCGGTGGCTCAGCGAGTAAGACGTTGGCTCCCTATCTAAGAGTTCTCGGGTTCGGTCCTCGTGTTTGCTGAGAAAGTTCCTCGGGATTTTATGTGTGGTTGCCCATTGTCAGTGGTGCAGGATGGGGCCCCTGACATGGACAAAATATCTAGTCTTTCGGATGGGATGAAACACAGAGGTGTCGCGAACATATTAACGAGCACGTAAAAATTCGAAGAAAGAGTAGACCAGGCAACATTTCCCTCGTAGCACACTGTATGATGTATGCCCGTCTTCAATGGTCCAGTCGGTGCAGTAGAACTAGTTAAATCACATTTGATTTGCATTCTGTATTGACAAGTAATTCTCTCCACATTAGTTCTAATGTTAAAAATAATGACATTACTTGGTCTATAGCAAAGAACCATAAATGTCATAATGTAATAAATAGGGAAAATTAATGAAGGGGACTGACCATCTCGATTTTTTTATAAGCCTTGTTTAAGGAAAATATAGGCCATAACACTATATAAAACTGATCATTTCGCCTCAGAATCGTGACTGTTGACCACAGCCGTATTGCAAGTGTAAATTTCAAACACTCGTCTTAGATTTAAGACGAAAAATTCGACGCACATTGCCATGGAAAAAGACGAAATAAGTGCAAAAGGAAAGGATCGCTATAATTTAATAAGCAAATTCAAATATACTGGTCTTAGCCCACAAGATTAAAGATTGTTATCTCCCCTGAATAACTGGTAGCATTTGCTATAAGATTTTTCACTGCAAATATTTCCCAGTCAGCCTAATTAATTGGAGTCTTTAGCTGTGGGAGGATCCATAGAAACCCCACACGGTTGGACAGACGACCCTGCATCTTGTCATGTACAAACGGGGGAATTAAAACCACGCCACTTGACTCAATGACAGACCTAATTAATAGTTTATATAACATTTAAGGCCCAAAGAAAGACCTGCAATAGGCAGACACGTTGGCTGCAAGTACAAAGATTACCTTGGCAGATGGAATTCTATATAAGAGTAGGCAAGTAGTGCTGCAACCGGCCAAAATTCACTCATACCACACGACATGGAGTATGTCCGTCTTCATTATCCCAGTCGGTGCAGAAAAGTAGGACGTTTAACGCCATTTTCATTTCCTTTTCATTTTCCTTTTCATTTTCATTTCATTTTCACAATTAATTGGAATTTCTTTTTTCTCATTACAGTGAATTCAATCTACAAGAAATAGAAATCGAACTCTACTTGCAATACACTGCTGCTGCTCTTATAACTATACACATTGACGTAACAGGTGATTCAAATATTTAAATGTAGAAATATGTACATATATAGTATTAGAACTGTTGTATATTCATATTAAGGGTCGTAGTAAGGATGTTTTAATCCTTAAGAAGAACCATAAAATAAAAGAACAAAGTCTTCCTAATAAACACAAGAGACAGTTACCATCTGAACGGCCTCTATTACTACGACGAGACTATGACACCAGCCATGATCCTGTTCCAATCTTTAAATTTGTGTATGATGTATAAATATCATGTATTTATTTAAATGTGTAAAACATGTATAATCTGTGTTTAAATTATTTGATATTGACGTAATATTTATATTATTTGATATTTACGTATTATTTAGATTATTTGATATTTACGTAATATATAAAGTAATTGATATTTACGTAATATATAAAGTAATTGATATTTACGTAATATATAAAGTAATTGATATTTACGTAATAGTTAAATTATTTGAAATATACATATGCATATCTATAGACATGTATCAATTTATCAGGTTCTGTTTGAACTATTCTGAATTGAATTCGTCAATTTAACTCCTAGAAGGTGCTTTTCTTGTTTTCTCGTCATCATTAATGTCATTTTAAAACTAAAAGTGTGTCATGCCATTCAGCACGATTTCTGGTTATGTCTCGAGGGACCTCAGTGTACTGTAACATTCTTACGAATATATACATTTGACATTCTAGGTTTTGGTCTATAAGTATGACCATATGTATTGTAACATTCTATTAAGAATAATAATACAGTTTGGTTGCCTGGTCTACAACAAGACAGCTTTGGGTGGATAACCTAGATTCTGTTCAGAAGTATGCGACATGATATTTCTGGACATTGCTATTCTCAAAACATATCTACCATGCCAAAAGAAAGGGGTGAGTTTAACATCATATCCGGTCACGTGGTAAATGTTGACGTTGAAGGCTAAATAAACAGTACCATACGTCATGATGTGATATTTCATTATTTACTAAAAGCTGCCGCACACCTTAGTTTAGCACGGGTGAACAACAGAAACCTATCGATAAGATAGGTGCCAGGATGTTTTCTTTTATCGAAACATCACACAAAAAATAAACTCACAGTTTATGTGTATGCTCAGCAGGTTGACCCGACAACAAATTATGTATGCTCAGCGGGTAGACCCACCAGACAACAAAATTAACTGTCTTGACGGCGTTGGCCATAATATATTTTAGTGTGTACTGGCCTTTAACATCCGCTTATTAGTTTCATACTTGCATACGTCTATTTTACACATCTATAGGCGTTAAGAATACTAAATTTATTTATATCTCTTCCATTTTTTTTAAAGCAAAACCTGTTTATGTGTTTAATGTGTTGTTTAATATCCCTCTTATGTAACTAATAATTCAATGAAATTCAGATTAGATTACAGTTTCGTTTCATTTATTTCACTGAATTTTACCCGGTTTGTTATGAAATCATAAAGATAACGAAACGAAATTGTCATCAGATTTTAATCCGACGTATAATGTTTGTTTAATTGTTTGTGATTATGTAACTGTAATATGACAATGTAAATTCGGTTACCATTTCGTTTCGTTTATTTTTCTGAATTTGAATGCGTGCTCGGCTGTATATAAAATCAGAAATAAAACGAAACAAACAAAACTGTTTGTTTTTTGTTTGTTATTATGTAAATGTTATATAATATTGTATCCTATTTATGTTCTTTGTTTTATATTTAATTATTATATCACCATGTCTAGCATTTGTAAAATAATTATTATCTATTTTATTTATTATATTATCATATTATTCGCTTGTCTTTTTCAAATAAAGTTTGTTTATATAATTCATTTTATGGATTTTATGCATTTTTTACGAAGAGTCTTGCAATGTTCGTGGTGGGTGTTATGCACAGGGCAGGGGCTTCAAGTATTTTGAAACAGTTCTGCTTTACCCTGGTAATTTAAGCTATTTTAAAACAGACACACCCATATCCCCCGACCCGTTTTTAATCATTGATTGTTTCACGCATTATTACACTAATTGGTTCACTTTGTTATCAATGGACTTTAGGTGTAATTGACTTTTAGGACCTATATAGGGGGGTTGGATGGCCGAATGGTAAGCACGTGCGCGCTGTATCATAAAGCCTGTCATTGAGTGAACTGGCGTGGTTTCGAATCCACGGTTGTACGTGACAATGAGTAGGGTCGCCTGTCCAACCTCGTGGGTTTTCTCCGGGTCCTCCTGTTTCCTCCCACTGCTAAAGACCCCTACGCGCAAGCGAATTATTGAAATAAAATTAAAACCATATGTTAGTCCCGAAATGACCTAGTTTGTGTCGAGTGGACGTTAAACCCCATCTCTCTCTCTCTCTCTCTTTTTCTCTCTGTCTCTCTCTCTCTCTCTAGGATCTATATAGTATTTTTTTAATGTCTCTAAACTGTTATTCTCCTCTTATATCTTCCCATGTCTGAACTAACACAATCCCACTTGTTTTGCTCCCAATAGCACGGGACAGGAGTTTTTAATATCTTAGAATCCGGATTGAGTTAACCCACAAACGCTGGCCCTGTAATTAAATCCCTACCAAACATTATGTTAATAGGCTGTAAAATTGAAGGTGAAATTCCATGTTTGGGCAGCCATTGATAGATGGGGTTTAATTTGAATATAATTTAAACAGGGCAGGTTAATTCAGTGCAGAATGTGAAATTTGAATAAAACAGAACGTTGTCTCTTTGATAGCAGTTTATATCCTTTATCAGTATCTGATATACAACACTGTCAGTGACAGGAGTTTAAAACATCATGGTAAGTTTCAGATTTGTTTCTTTATATTTCTTTAAAGGCCGGTAATCCATATTGCAAACCTTATGGTGTGTATGCTTTCCTTTCACTGAAATGAAAGGAAATGGGGTTTAACGTCCTACTTGTATGCACGGACTAGGCTAATGAAGACGGGCATACGCCATGCGGTGTGCTACAGGAGGAAATTTTTCACGGACAGTGGCTCTCCTCTAAACTGTCAAGCGATCTGTTACGTTTACGCCAATTTGCACACGGGACGGCAGGTTTTTGTCCCATGCGAACGACTAGACCTTCCTTGCCTGGAAAACCCCAATATAATATGAGCGTGAGTAAGTTGTGGATGTGTTGATTATTAATTCTTTATAATGTTTACTGTTGTAATCTTCAAATGCTTGTCAACACCTTTTCTAATAAAGGTAATTAATAGCTTATAAAAGAGACGGGGCGAGAGATAGCAAGCGAGAGAGAGAGCGAGAGGGGGGGGGCTAACGTCCACGTGACACAAACTAGGTCATTTCGGGACTAACATAATGTTTAATTTTATTTCATTAACTTTGCTTACGCGGAAAACCAGGAGAAAACCCACGATGTTGGACAGGCGACAAAGCGAGGAATCGAAACCACGCGAATCGACTCAATGACACGTACCGGTACAATATTTTAACCTTGACAGTTGACCTATGAACTTGCACTCGTTAAACCTTTAAAATAAGATTAGCATTTAACACACCTTGGTCTTTATAGTCGGTAATAAACGTACCGGGAGAAATTACTATAAAATATGGAAGTTAAATAAATTAGACTCTTTAGCTTCAGTTATATTGCCAATATGCTAATCATTGCCTCGTCTTGTCGGAAAGGTATATTGTGCTGTAGAATGGTCACCGTATACAAACTAAGATTTAGTTTTGTCGTATTTTTCTTTAAAATATCAGCTAAGAAATTAAGTCGTGTATTTGTAGACGGATGGTGTCATTCCGATTAAATTATATGTTCCAAAATGTATTGCATACTTAATTAGAGACGGGGGATCTTATCCAAATGGGGAGGTGTCTTCATCGCGTGACTACTAGTATTCGGGCCAAAAGACAGAAATCGGTTCGTTCATTAATCCAAAACATAGATAATAAACCGTTAAAGGCGCATTATGTAAGAGCTACATTTGCATATTGCAGGTCTATTTTATGACTTCAAATTTTATATAAATTATTACTTAAACATTTATTTACATGGCAAGCCCATAATCAACTATCTAGGTCATCTTATGGCTGTGATATTAATTGTATTAGAACAAACTCGCTATTGAATTGGTTAACGCTAAAATAGAAAATCAAGACTTCGTTTATTATCGTAGCAATAACAATCAAGTCTACGCTTTTTTTGTCAAAACTTTAAACACTCATAACTTGGCCCAGAATAACGTAATTTGACTGACATTTTCAATATATTAACTATTATGGCAAGGACGACCAGCTCTTTACCTAAAGCTTACATAATGCATCTTAAAACAAATTTTGTAAAATGAAACTAGACTTTAAATTATTTTTAACAAATCGTTATCAGCAGCAAATGATCATTAATGGGACAGAATGGTCGAACGCTATTGACAGCAGGAGGGAAAGCTATAATGACAATGACGTAGCATGACCAATGCCTAATGACCACGGGGTACATATACGCTAATGACAATGAGACAACAGCATGGAAGGCTAATGACCACGAGGTTGTCCATGAGGCAGCATAGCCGTTATTGTTCGTTATTCGGATAAAACAAAATATTATTTTTTCTTTGTGTTCCTAAATTTCAATGCATATATACATTTCCTTGTTTTATTTCAGAAAGTTTTATTTTTAATGCTAACAGTCGGTGCACACCTGACATTAGGTGCCGAGATTCACAATGCTACAAAACCCACGGAGACAGTTTCTGGTGTATTACAACCCCCCACAACACCTGTACATGTTGATCCTGTACCAGTACAAAGAACCACCTACCACGATCCTAGTGGCAAGGTCACGTGTTCTATTTCAATAGCTGACGACACTGATGCTCTACAATTAACTGATGATAACTTCGGTTATCCCAAGTAAGTTTGTCAACAACAACACCCACTCTCCCTGACTAACCATACCTTCTTTTATTCCAAGTAGGTGTATCAACAATATATCCCACTCTCCTCAGTTGATAACAACTACGGTTATCCCACGTAAGTTTGTCAACAATAACATCCACTCTCCCTAGTTATCCGAAGTAATTTGTCAACAATATCACTATCTCCCTAACTGATGATAACTACGGTTATCCCGAGTAAGTTTGTCAACAATAAAACCCACTATCTCTAACTGATGACAGCTTCGGTTATACCAACAACGATACACATTCGGATGATAACTTCGGTTGTGAACACTAACTGATGATAACTACGGTTATCCCAAGTAAGTTTGTCAACAATAGCAACCACTATCTCTAACTGATGACAGCTTACGTTGATAACCTTTGTTGTCAACA